GACGTACCACACGCAATGTCGGCCCAACGGAAAGTTGACGTCGTCCGGCTCGTAGTTCATTTGATGAACGAAATAGTGGCCGTTGGTCACATTGATGGTGGAGATTCCACCGCAGTGCTCTATTTTTGACAAGAAACAAAGTTTCGCTTTGTTTTTTTTTGCTACATAATAAATGTATTTGCCTTATCCCTATGTCTGCATGTGCTTCGCAATTATTAGCCCTGCTCATCAGGCCATATGAGACCATTTCTGCACCAGATTGAGATAAGCGCAATCTGGTCTCTACCCCTGTAGATATCCATTTGTCTTGCCCAAGAACACCAACCCCGTCAGGGTTCAAACTCACGCATGTCCACGCAGCAAATCCAAGTCAAAATATGGTTTTGAAACTCACCGCAGCCGGTTTCATCAGTGTTGTCGTCACACGTAAGCACCCCGTCACAATGTTTAGAAGCAGGTATACAAAGTCCAGACACGGAGCACTGAAATTGATCTTCTCTGCAAGGACCTAAAATAGAACACAAACAAATACCCCAACAAACACCCCAACAAACACGCAAACAAACACCCCAACAAACAAACGAACAAACACCCCAACAACCCCCCCAAACACCCAAACAAACAAACAAAACAAAACAAACAATCAAACAAACACCCCAACGAACGGATACAAAAATGAAAGAAAGTGCACGCCTTTTCAGACTGATGTTCCAGAGTCGACCCGAACTAAAAAGGCATTTAGAGTAACATAGGTCAACCAAAATAGATTTTGGTTTCAAATAGGTGAACATTATGTTTCTATATAATAAGACTTTATCATGCACAGGGGGCCTCGGAACCTCAAGTCGCTTGAGGAACGTCAAGTCTCTCCCAGTTACAAACCTGACTTGTGGAATAAAAGTACCACTTGAATAATCCAAAGAAGAATGTTCAAAACCTAACCAGTTGAAATTTCAGCTCAGTGTTTATTATACACTTTCCAAAAAGACAGTGACAAACCATGCAAAACCTCAGTTTTGATCATGAAATACGACTTAATATTACTCTTTATTTCGAACGATCATTCAATTGACTGATCATTTGTTTTATAAAGCAAGTCAGACGGAATAAATTCACGGGTTGTTTTGTACCAGTATAATTGACCTATCACGGTAGAATCGCGTTAGCGTAAACGCAGCTTGTGAAAAATTGTCCAATTACATGACATACAAATGGACGCGGAACGCGCAACATCCGGGACAGACAAAACTTGGCGTACACAATTTCCATAGGGTTGTCTAAGGGGTGTGGCTAACTCGCAAACGGCGATAGGTCAATGAGCTCCGTGCGCTAACAAAAGAGGGCGCTTTTTTATCTAGCAACGACGTCCCATGGGCGGGACATTTCGCTGGTTGACGCGCACTGTTCCTTGTGTGTGACGCTCGTACACCAGGGGATTTGTTCTATGTACATGCAGTTGCCGAGCGCTTTGCAGGAAATGAATTGCAGTCAGGCAAGATGGCGTCGGTCGGTCACCCCCAAAGAGCTATATTAAAGTTATAGTCCATTATTTGTAATTTGTGCATTTTGTTCGTTTGAGGCAACAAAAGTGCTCAAAATCTAAAGAAGGGTACTGAACAACTATATAAAGTTTCAGCTCAGCTTCAGCTGTATATTCTGAGAAAAACAGCATTCTATGATCTCAATTTCAAATCAAAAGTTGCTGAATCATGTTTTGAATTGCGCCTGAATTCAGCGTCCGAGACACGTTCTCGCTGAGCCGAATGCAGCTACGCGATGTCGCGCACTGATCTGACGAATTATTAGCAACCGGGGGTGCGTGTGCGTCGAGCCAATGCTTGCACGCGTTTCGCCGAATAACAAAACGAACTACTAATTTAAATTTTCCTACGGTGCGTCTTAAGAAGCACCATTGGAAAGGCCTTCTTTCGTTGATTACTTCAAAATGACAGCTTGCCAGAAAGAATATTTTCACAGGGAGTTTAGTCCCCTTACTATCTTTCAACCAAGTATGTTTTTCAACAATAACTACGCCAGCTACTTTTAGGATAGCTGCAAATGATGGACTATAGATTTAAATTACTAGAGCGCTAACTTCGTGTACAAAGTAATGCCTGCTGGGCGCATCCATGTTTGTGCACAAACCTATGGAGACCTAGAAATTGTGTACGGCTTTTGTACGGCTATTTGCATATTTGCGTTTGTATTCCATATCGGTGCGTTATCGAAGCCAATGCGCCCAGAACCAAAACGCACGATCAGCAAATGAGCGTGTCATTTTGCTCTTCGCAAACAGCTCAACGCGTACGCGTATTCGCTGCAGATGCTTTTTGCCGTCACCTTTTTTGAATCGTCAATGACGCGCTTAAGTTGTTTGTATGTGTTCTACTTGCGCGTTGCATGTAAAGTACACTTTCAAAATTCAATCCATCTAATTTCATTATGTTCTACAAACACGCACATGAATTCAAAATGTCTGCGCCAAGGACGGCTTCAAAGTGTTTCCGCACGCAGAATGGCGAGTTAGCGCTCTAGTAATTTAATATTATACAAATAACGAATGTTTGTGAGTGCGATGGTAAGAATAATTTCATGAGGTGACAGATTGAATGTTCTATTCCACGAGGCGAAGCCGAGTGGAATAGAACATTCAATCTGTCACCGAATGAAATTATTCTTTCCATCGCACGAACGTAAAACATTCGTTAATTGTTTTGTACAACACCTGAATAAATTCTCGTCATTTGATTGGTAAATTATAAACTACAATTATTTTGATTTTAAAGATGTTGAACTACCCCTTCACGAAAATGTTTGAACCCAACGCTGTAGCGCTGGCTATTTGGAACAATAGACGCGAAGCTGAACGCGCACACCAGCATGCATTTTGCACGCAAATACCGCGTCATGGAACAAGCGCAAAGTGAAACGGTATAACGCATGGGTATAACGCATGGTCGCAGCGTGCATTATACCGAATAATAATATGTCACGTGATCTACAATTCACCAATCAGATGACGGGGATTTATTCAGGTGTTGTATAAAGCTCTATGGTCACCCCCAACTGTACTTCCTTTGCCGGTGAGGGGCAGCCTCGACTCCAGGGGCGCGTGCTCGTTCCTTACACTAACCCCTGGCTGTGATGATGACGTAAATGACACTGAATGGCTATTCACAGCGTACTGCGCGGGCATTTCGAAGATTGCACGCCGGGCGCGCCCAAACGCGCTCGCGCTCGCGTGCTAATTTTTGCACGTAACGTCACGTACGAAAAAAATATATATGATTCGCAAGTCGCGAAGCCTGTACGATACAACCTCGTCCCCAGTGCTTACTTTATTTCCAACCTCGTTTCCAATAGTAAACCCTGGATAGGAAACTTTCATCCTGTATCCTGATTCGATACCTCAATTGGCTAGAAATGGATTTTATCGTGTACTTGGTGTTGTTATTCACAACGTGCAGTACGTGTTTTCGCAATCATTCGTCCACGCCTTCTCGAAAATATTCATTTCCTTTCCAGTTTGTTAATATAAATATGAAATGTGATACTGCATGTTGTCTCGTTAAGATCGTAACAGTTTAATTAAAATGAAATCATGTTTTCGTAACTCACGCCATGCTCGCTGCGACGAATTGACTCTGTTTTTACCCCAGACACCGCATACAAAAACAAACGCAAATGTAACGCACAGGCAGGCACCAGACTACTCCTAATTTGCATACGTGTTCAAAAATCTTGCACATGCAAATGATCCAATACCAGGGTGAGAGAGCAGGTAGTGATGGGCGCGTACTGTTCGACACCCTGGGTACGAGGTTGTGTACGATAAGGATTATGTCAGCCGCGTTTTTCGCTAAAAAAAAAACCCTGTATCTGTGGTTGTAAAGGCACGAAAGGTGTACGTACATTTAATACAAATCTTTGCTAATTAACACAACATCCAAACGTTGTGTTTGAAATATTGATTCTTCAAAATCACAACTTTTAACATTTTAAAGATGGCGCCGGCACGTAAAACGGATAAACTGCAGCCCTAATTATAATGTACCGTATTTTGGTATATTTAAATTACACAATTCCAGGGGTTACGATCGCGCAAGGCATGATTGGAAACAACATGGCGCTGCAAGATCGTACCCACGGGGCACGAGATTGGGTAAGGGGGTACATGTGAACGGAGCGGATAGGTCTCGTTCAAATGACGTCATTTCCTACAGACCATCCACGAACATCGGTATTTTGAGGGTCAACTTTCAAAACGCGCATCAGCTGCGTCGTATTTCGAACACACTTCGAGCATAGATATAGAACTTAAAATAGCAAAGTTCTATATCTATGACTTCGAGCAACAAGCGCGCGTGTTTGGAACATTTTTACCACTGCGCAATGCGTGCTTGATTGTGTAAAATACGCAGTTGCAGTTCTCCTATAGAAATGGCCGTCATTGAACGAGCCCTATAGTTATTCCAAGTTACAGTCCATCATTTGCAGCTATCCAAAAAGTAACTGACGAAATTATTGCAGAAAAACATACTTTGTTGAAAGATAGTAAAGGAACTAAACTCCCTGTGTAATTATTCTTTTTGGCATGCTGTCATTTTAAACAAATCAATGAAAGAAGGCCTTTCCAACGGTGTTTCTAAAGACGCACCGTTGGAAATTTCCGTTAGTAGTTTTTTTTTTATTCGGCGAAACTCGCGCAAGCGTTAACACGGCGCACACACGACGCCCAATTCAAACATGATTCAGAAAATTTTGATTTGAAATCGAGATCCTAAAATGCTGGTTTTTCTCGGAATATACAGCTGCCGCTGAGCTGAAAGTTCATCAGGTTAGTTGTTCAGTGCCCTTCTTTAGATTTTCAGCACATTTGTTGCTTTAAACGAACAAAATGCACAAATTACAAATGATGGACTATATACCCTTTATAATAGTTCTGTAGGCTACTTTTTGATAATTGCCAATGATCTTGTATGAAGTCAGTTATGAAACTGTTAATGAATCTGAATTCTCTTACCGCAGTTCGATTCATCTAATTCATCTGGACACAGCAGCAAGCCGCCACAGGTGTCGTCACGTGCCAAACAAATCAAGCCAGATGATGCATCCCGGCATACAGATTCATCTTGTCCGCAAGAAACTGCAGCAAGGAACAAAATAAATCACATGCAAAATTCTGCAGTCTGATCAAACTTTACACAATAGTAGTAACCTATTTTCAAGCACAATTACACATTGAGCATTTCACTTACGTCACATTTCGCAAAAACTTTTGCGTTGCATAAGTCTGCAACCTACGCAACATTATGGCTTCGACTTTGTCAATTTGTGTAGTCGAAGTCACACTGTACAGGGCGAGTAAAAAAATTCCCTTTGGATACGTTCTTTTCTCCAACAAAAACGGGAAAAGGTTACCAGTGTTTTCTTTTCAGCCAATTAACATTCGATCTGGGTATTGACCGCAGTCAGTAAAGGTTTCCCTGATATTCAACCGTGTTTGAAAAGGATACAGGCCTTTCCTTGTGACTACCCCACAACACTACCAACACAATGCTCAGAATATGCCTTATGCTATCAACACAATGGCAACAATGGACCATTGTGTATAGCTGTGCCCGTGCCCTAACGCGTGTAATAGCTCTGCGGACCAGCTGCGGTCTTCTGAGGATTTCAACAGTAATATGTTGGTGTAGATCCTGCAGGTTGTTTGGCACAGTGCGGTACACCCGGGGTTTTTGTTTTTGTTTTGGTTTTTTTTTTACCACAAGGCATATCTGGGCATTTACAGCTAGAAACACTATTGATTAATAGAGACTGCTAATGGCTTGTCGCCCAGACAGCGATTCACCTCCCTACTGAAGCTGGCCACATTCCTGATAGTGGATATGAGAGAGTTCCATATTTTGGCCGTAGTAGTAAAAAGGACCTTTGATGGCTGACTCGGTTTGATCTTGGTACCTCCACTGCCAGGTTGTGTGGTCAGACAGACTGCTGTAGCCTTGGATCTGGAATATACCTGCTTGGCATCAGCTGGCACAGAAGTTCTGGAGCCTCCTGAGAGAAAATACGATGGGATAGGGTTGTTGCGCCTACTGCTCTGCGGTGACTCAATGGATGGATACGATGGTCTAGGTATTCATCTCTAAAGAGTCCGATGATACGCTTAGCTCTGTTCTGAATGGAATCAAGTTGAGCAAGGGAAGTGGGTGTTGCATTAAGCCAGGCAGTACTCGCATACTCCATCTTAGAGCGTATCGTAGCTTTGTAGATAATGGCTCTCTGGCCCAGCAAGATATAAGGAGAGACTCTTCTGAGAAGTCCCAGCTGCTGACCAGCAGACTTCACCACTTTGGTAACCACAGGGTTCCAAGACAGGTTATTGCTCAGGGTGAGGCCCAGGAGATCCGCTCTATCAACTTCTTCAAGCGTAGTGCCGAAAAAGCTAAGGGGAGGATGAGTAACTACAGCATCCCTACGATTTGAGTTGTTGATCGTTTTACACTTAGCAGCTCCAAATAGCACATTCCACGTAATAACCCATGTCTCGACCTTGTCCAGGTCTCGATTGAGGGACATATATGGTTTGTCGGGTCTAATGAGATGTCATCCAGGAAGATAATAAACAGCAGTTACAGGGGACCCAGTACGGAGCCTTGAAGTACGCCAGCGTTAATCATCTTCTCACCAGATTCATTTCCACTCGAGACAACCTTCAGTAATCGATCTTTAAGATAGTCAGTCAACCAGGCATGCATTCTTCTAAAAAAAACATATGCAGCAGGCTTAGCAAGCAGACCGGGGTGCCAGGCATGATCGAAAGCTCTGCTGATGTCAAGGCAGATAACACGTGCTTCTTCCCTGCTGTTAAGTGTGTTTTTGAGGCTCTGAGAAATGTAAGTTAGGGCATTTGATGTGGAATGTCCTGGTCTGTAACCAAACTGTCGTTGGGAGATCAAACGGTGTTAGTCAAGGTACCTCCACATCTACTTGCTGATGAGCTTCTCCATCACTTTTGAGATGACAGATAGCAGAGAAATGGGCCTGTAGTTTATCTCCTTTCTTATGGCATGGTATGGCATTTGCACATTTTTATTGGGCTGACATGTGTCCGTTGTCAAAGCACAGCTGGAAGAGTCTGGCCAACAGTGTGGCTAGCTCATGTGCAGCCTTTTTTCGCACAAGGGCTGGTATCGTCTGGGCAAAAAGCTGATATCCAGCCTCATCAGTTGTTTTTGTTCACTTTGTTAGGCCAAAACACGATCTCGGAACAGCAGGAGAAAGACCTGGTGCAAAAGTTTTGGAACGGCTTTGCTGTTTACTTCATCGGGTATGGTAGACTTTTCGCTGAATAATAATAAAAAACATTCAGCTTTATCCTCTTAACTGATGTAAATTTGTCTGTTGGCCTTCAAGACCGGGATTTCAGTCTTGCCACCCTCTCCTGCTTGTCTGTGGGCTGTCCACCACCAGCTTTTGGAACCAGATTGAAGTTCAGTTACCATCTTTCCCCTTACTCTGTGCTTCTGTGGAGCGATGGCCTTCTGAGATGTATAAACGATTTGTTTCGAGCCTTGTTGTACTTGAGGCGAGATTCAGGTGTTTGCAGAGCTCGCCATCTTCTCAATGTGCGGTTTTTCCTCTTCAAGGCCTTATCACAATCATCATTCCACCACGCAGGATGTTCAACAAATGAGTAGATTGTCTTATGTTGAAAATAGCTACGCATTGCATTCTGGATGGTGTTGGTTATGTTTGAACATGCCACTTCTGTATCATCTTTAGTTAGAAGCTTATCCCAGGGTGCAGCTGCCAGGTCGTTCAGGAGTCCTGTCCAGTCTGCCTTTTTGTAGACCCATGTCTGGGAGGAGAGGGTTCTGACAGGGGAGGGTTCTGACTCTGGAGGCCTCCAGAGTAACCATGATGAGATAATGGTCAGAAGTTGAATATTGCAGTCGGTTGGTGTAAAGAGGTTTGGAGCATCTGTCATAATTAGATCCAGGCAATTTCCATGTTGGTGAGTGGGGCCATGAACATTGAAATACCCCAAAGAAAAAAATCTAAGGGGGTAAGTTATTGTTATCTTGGCGCCATTTCGTGCGTATTTTACGTTGTTTCTAGACTGTCCGAGCGTTTATAGGCTGCCGTACCTCCGGTAAGTGTTCACCATATTGACCTACCGTGTCTTTTACGTTACCAATATCATAGCGGCGTAAATCCCAGGGTGGGGGGATATATTTGGCCTCCGTAAAATCGAATGGGAAGGGGGGCCCTGATACTTTTTTTAAGGGGACTTGTTCAGAAAAAGGCAACTTGTTAAAAAAGCAGGGCACTCTTGACAAAGATTGGGGAGGGGGGTAAGCGCTGGTGAAAAAGGGCATTGGAATGGAAAAGGGCAGTCTTTAAAAAAATGGGGGGGGGGGGGTAAATACCCCCTTACCCCACCCCCACCCCCCACCCCACCCCTCCCGCTGGCTACGCCTATGCTGATCGGAAGTTCGGGACATTAAAAGCTTTTAATGATAAAGCCAGACCTAACACGAAACTGCGCTTTGCGAAAAGGGCATCATTTTTTTAGCCTTGGCTGCTTGTCCTTGTATTCATCAGAAATGGCACATCGCCAGGCAAATATAATGCCATGTGCAAAAAAACTGCAAATAACTGAAATCATACCTTATCGGATTGTTGAGATAGTGTGACCACAAAATTGCCTCATTAAATATTCATGACGTCGTCACACGAACAAAAAGAAACTGCACGGTAATAAACGATAATAATTGAAATTGGGAACAGCTAACAATTGGCGTGCATTTCCATGAAATAAGCTGCACAAAACTTCAGGAGTCACCACCGGTAGATTATCTATGCAACTCACCTTCAGATCTTTCTTGTGTAATCGTTACGTTAAATCCGATCTTGGTTACTGAACCATCGCTCGCAAAATCCATCCAGGCTGTATGGTTACTGGAAAAGATGGCGAGACTCGTCAGGAAACCGTTAAAACGACCAATAATGGATTCACCATCGAGGGGTGCATGGCCGTTGCCAATGGTCAACGTGTCGTGTGTTTGCTCCGTGTTGAACACGGAGAAACGGAAGGCTATCGTGGAGCCTTCATCAACTGTGATGAACCAAATGCACTGGGCATTGTTGGGATAGTTGTTTGGGTAATAAGGCGAAGTCAGTGTTTCTGAAGTCTGTGTTGAATTGTTGAGAGTGATGTTTCTTTTGCCGCAAAAACCTGTAGAAGATAAATTAAACTGTGGATCACAAAAAGGACTAATAGTAGAGTCATTTTCCTGGAATCCGTGACCATGTTGCAGATACTTTTTTTTCTTGATGGATTGACAAATAGGACCAATTTTAAGGAAAAAAAATAGCTCCTATACACCTCCCAAAAGTGATGGCAAACTTTTGTTATAGCACTTTTATTCAAAATGGCCGCTGACGCCATATTAAAATAGGCCTACATAAACAAATGATATCTCGGGAACCAAATGAGCCATATTGATAATGAGGTGTCGATTCCCACTATTTCTGGCATAACAAATCTGCTAAAATGGTATTCATTACGTTTCGGACCATCGTGATCTCAAAATTCAAAATGGCGGCTGGTAGTCATCTTGAAAAACGGCATCTAGTATATCTCTGGAACCAGATGAGCAAATAGACAAATGCTATTTTCAATTAATTCTGGCATTACAACCCATCGGAATGGTTCTTTTGACGTTCAGGGACTACCATGACCTGCTATTTGAAGATGACTGCTGTCCGCCATCTGTCAAAACGTCAATCTGCAATATTATCTCTTGCGCCAGAGGCTCTTGGTATGAGGAGCCATCCCATTTAAATCCACCACTACCTAACTTATTTGAGTGGTTATTTTGAGTTTTATCTTAATACCTATTTCTTTCTGTTATAACTTCTAACAATTTGTTTTAAATTAATTTGTTTTACTGGCTTTGGTAAATTTGTTCTCCATTGCATGTTTTTTTTTATTTACACGTGTTTTGCCTTACATTGTTGCCATGGGCGTCGCCAGGATTTTTTCTAGAGGGGGACAAAGCACATTTTTTTCCCAAAATCCCTAAATTTTCCTGCATTTTCCTGATTGATAATTTTTTCGAAGGTTGGGCAGGGACATTTTCCCGGCCCCATTAAATTAACCACAATATGAGATCGCGCCTCTCCCCCCCCCCCCTTTTGGCCTGTCGGGGGGGGGGGGGCAAGCACCCCCTCTTACCCCCCCCCCCCCCCTCACGATGCCCATGATAGTTGTCATTTGATGATTTTGATTGTTTATTTCACGTGCGATTGTAATGAATATGTTGCTTATCATTCATTTTGGTTAACAATTCGTTAATGTTAAGTATTGTTTTGTTTAACCTCAGTATACAGTTTCATATTTTTGTTACTATGTATTTACTTTTAAAGTGTGGCCTTCATTTAGTCCAGTAAATTGGCCATATTTATGGGGCTACAATTGACAAAAACATGAAAATACCCGACACTCATGACACTGTTGACACTGGCCATGCTGGCACAGACATGCCAGACATGACAAAATACCATCAATGTTTACCCTGTAAACGGCCGCAAAAGTACTACATACGTCACCTGAGGTACAAGAATAGATCAGAGATTAAGATAGATGTACTAGTGTTTACTTACGACTCGGATGAAAAGTGAAATGTTCCCGTTTATCGGCGAATGCTTCGGTCGCGATAACCGAGCGGACGCCATTTTGAATCAGCTGGCTGACCATTTCCGAACGTTCACAAAAAAGGCGATAAGTTGAGTCCAAACATGGGTTTAGCACTTAAACAACAGTCAAATTACTCACCGAGCAGTATGTCACTGTACACGTGTGTTTTAAATACACCATAGAGCAGTACGCACTGACGTGACAACGGCAAGTAGAACTGTTCAAAATAGGGCGCTCCGTCGTTCTTTCAGGCCGGACGCTGTTTCACCCGAGGGCCGTTGCCAAACTCAACAGGACGGACACGTGTTCTGTTTCGCGCATGCGCAGATCGATGTTTTCGCCCGGCTCACCGTCCTCTTTGTCTACCGTCCCGAATCGAAAGCTTACTATTGACTTTGGGATGGAAATACACCATACGATAGGGACTTGCATTGGTGAATAAAATCTCTCCCTGAGTTTGTACCATGTGCAACATATATCTCATACATACGACACATGTATTTTAACGCGTACGTACGAATTGTATGTCATACATACGACATACGTACGACACGTACGTCGCAGGTATAACATATAAATCGTACCTATATGTCGTATGACATACAAGTCATACATACCAGTTACAATAGATATGTCGCACGTACGATATACAAGTCGTACTTACAAGAAATGTCGTATGTACGACATAATCGACAAGTCGAACGTAGGAGTAAAAATTCATATGTTAATGAACACACGGGATATTAAGTCCTTATATACGACAAAGTCGTATGCGACACATATCGTACCCTGTCGACTCGACATATCGTACGCACGACATATATGTCGTACCGTCACCTGTCGACATTATGTCATATGTTTGATATGTCATACCCTGTTGACATATTATGTCGTACCCTGTCGGTATATTAGTCGTACTCTGTCAACATAATATATGTCGTACCCTGTCAATATAATAGTCGTTCTGTTCTTATTCCTCCATGATACGACATATAACTTATAAGTCGTTCCATGGTCGTTCATACAAGTTAAAATCAGTCTTAAGTTAGCTGAAGGAAAGATCATTTTTCACATATCCCTTAGACAGCCTAGTAGAAATACCCCCCAAAAGTCAGCGGTAGATATACTCAATAGTGTGAGCGCCTTTTTTGCCGCTGACCGAGAAAGCGCAGCGTGTCTTACCGCATAGCTCAAGCCCGGTCGGTGCCTACAGTTGACGGCCCCGACGTGGTCTCTGTGCACGGTAACATCTTTTTTTTGCCGTCGTGCGGTTTGTAGGCCGTTCGCCGTTTTGTGAAAAGTCTCATTTTTGATCATTTCATTTCATTTTCGACCCAAACTATGTATAACTATATAAATATTATTGTACTCTTATTTAAGATATCAAGGGGGTGACCGGTGTTTTACAATAATTATTGTAACCTTTGGTCTCATTATGCAATTTAATAAATATTCATTTTTTGGCAGCCATTATCCAATGAGAGAAGACTATTTACCATTGCGCCTGCTAATTATCATATTGAGCAAACACTGTTGCGTCAAGGCTATCTTCCGCCTCGACTTTCTGTACGGCTGTTTGCGGAAGTGTGTGTGGGGTGTACACAAAGCACACGCAAGGGTCGTTGAGGCTAACGGTATAGTAATAGTTTCGCGGCGCACGCTGTTTGCGGAGCGGGAACAAGCTCGTATGGGAACAAGCTGATAGCCTTGGTGAAGGCTAGGTGTGTAGGAGCTTTTATTAGGTGTTGGGCCTTGAGCCCAACACCTATTGGTTTTGTAATAATTTACTGTTTTTGTTCTTCTCAGCATATTCTCAGCAAATCCTTCTCCAGAACTGTTTGGAAAAATGGAAACATATATGAACTTCATTTGTCAATACATGAATGCCCAATCCACCGCAGACGCGTTTTTTTGCAATTACGTAATCATGACGCCATCATGGGTCACGTGACGTCACTTGAAAGTTTAATAAATTGAATCTTTGAAATTCCATATAAAATCAACCGTGAGAGACCGGAACCTGAAATTTGCGGGAATCGACATGGTAATACATGATCTTCATTACACGTAAAATCACGTGACCCTTCCTTCCGGTCGAAACCGGAAGTGCCTAATAATTTAAAAGTGGAAACAGATATGAACTTGCTTTTAACGATTTAGGTGTCTGCCTGGATTGACCTTTCAAAAAAAGTAATGGGTGACGCCATGAAGTGTTGGAGCGCCCTCTAATGGCAGGTTAAAAAACGTCAAAAACGCATTTTCACTTGATGTCTGTGGCAAAGTTTGCGGTAATCGCTTCAAAATTAATGTACATGATGACCATAATGCAGACAACACCTGTGCGCGAAAAAAATTGATTACGTCATCAGACCGGAAGTTACAATAAAAATACCTTTAAATCTTAAAAAATTGCTAGAAAATATACCGTGATAGATATAATAAAGATTTGGCTGTATACAGCACAGTAAATATAGCTCTGGAGCTTTCTGGTAATGACGTCATAATGACGTCATCAAGTGTCGTATTACAAGCAATCAAAGATTTCTAGGTTTAATCTTTGAAAATCAATGTAAAATCAACCGCTACATATTTGATTTTGTTCTTTATGGCAATAGATACAATATTGCAGGGTCTTCATTTTCGGTATTAAGTGCAAAATCACGTGACCCCTCCTTCCGGTCGAAACCGGAAATGCCTTATAATTTGAAATTGGCAGAAGATACGAACTTTCTTTCAACGATGTGAGTGTCTGCCTAGGCTGTACTTCAGAAGCATATTATAGGTGACGTCATAAAATGTTAGAGCGCCCTTTAGCGGCAGGTAAAAAAAAACGTGAAAAAACACATTATCACTTGATATATGTGGCGAAATTTGCGGTAATCGCTTCAAACTTAACATACCTGATGAACTTAATGCAGAAAAGACCTGTGCGCGAAAAAAAATTGATTACGTCATCATACCGAAAGTTATAAAGAAAAGACCTTTAAACCTTAAACAATTGCTAAAACATCAACCGTGACAGATATAATGAAGATGTGGCTATATATAGTACAGTTAATATAGCTCTGGAGGTTTCTGGCCATGACGTCACAATGACGTCGTCAAGTGTCATATTACAAGCAAATAAAGATTTCCATATTAAATCTTTAAAAATCAATATAAAATCAACTGCTACAGATTTGATTTTGTTTTTTATTACAATCGATACAATATTGCAGGGTCTTCATTTTTTGTATTAAGTGCAAAATCATGTGACCCTTCCTTCCGGTCGAAACCGGAAGTGCCTTATAAATTGAAATTGGCAAAAGATGTGCACTTGTTTCAACAATGTGAATTTCTGCCTAGGGTATACTTTACAAAAATATTACAGGTGACGTCATAAAATGTGACAGCGCCTTCTAGCGGCATGTTGACTAAATAAAACATGGATTAAAACATGCATTTTGAGTTGATGTGTTTTGAAAAGTTTGCGGTAGTCCATGGCTGAACACCGTGTGGTTGTTCCTACAACCTCTAGTTTTCTTTAAATTGGTCCAATTTGTCAAATCCATCAAGAAAAAGAGGTATCCGCAACCTGGTCACGGATTTCAGGACAATGCTTCACTATAAGGTTTCTTGTAAAACCAAACCATATCTTTAATTTCAGGAATGTCAGTGTTTTTTGTGAAGTCTCGAAGTATAAATTGTTTTGGTGCCGATATCCTAAAAGCAACGATCATCCTTGTCCAAGATGTTTGAAATAATTATTGAAACGTTGAATAGCATACCAATTTTCATGAAATCATTCGTAATTATATATTACACAAATGTAATTAGTTGTGTAAATCTGCGGTGAGCGACATAAGTTACATGTATGCACTGTTCCGTAAAATCAGCTGCACAACAACTTCAGGAGACATTCCATTATCTTTTCAAGTTGCTACTCACCTTCATAGCTTTTTTGAGTGATCTCTACCTCGAATCCGATCTTGGTTACCGAAGAATCGCTGGTAAACTCCATCCATGCCGTGTGGTTATTGGAAACGGCGGCTAGACTCGTCAGGGAACCGCTAAAAAGACCAATAACAGAGTCACCATCCGAGGACTCGTGGCCGTTGCCAATGGTCAACGTGTCGTGTGTTTTCTCGATATAGAACACGGAGAAACGGAAGGCTATCGTGGAGCCTTCATCAACTGTGATGAACCAAATGCACCGGGCATTGTCGGGATAGTTGTTTGGGTAATAAGGCGAAGTCAGTGTTTCTGAAGTCTGCGTTGAGTTGCTGAGCGTGATGTTGCTTTTTCCGCATGGAACTGCGGAAGAAAATAAAAAACAGTTAAAGGAAAATCAGAAAAAAAATACTAGGTTTCCTGTAAAACCAAATAATACGCTTAATTTCAGGAATACCAGTGGTTTTGCTCAAGGGACAGAAAAAGACTTAATTTAATCAGAATGTGCACAAGCCCCAAGAACAAAACATTGTCTTTGGATAACATGGATCCGAGGTGATTCTGATGCGGTATCCGGCCTGCGACTAGGCGGTGATGTACTGTACGCTGCTGCACGGAAAGTTGCTTGAAAAACGCTTAATGTCATCTGTTTCAAAGATGGCAGGGGAATAAAGAAGAATTTCATAGGCTATGTTGAGCCAGTGTTAGCTTCTTGATAATAGTCCGGCATGCTACTTTTGGGATAAATTGAAAAGATCACGCATGCCTTTAAGTTTAACAGAGTTTAAGTCAGTTGCAATGATGCTTCATGAATCCGAAATATACTTACGGCAGTTAGATTCATCTGATTCATCTGGGCACAGTGCAAAGTTATCACCATCACAGGTGTCGTCACGTGCCAAACAAATCAAGCCAGAGGATACATCCTGGCATGCAAATTCATCCTGTCCACAGGAACCTGCATGCAGCAAAGAGCAGAATAAATAACAGGTAACGCTTGCAATCGATTCTCCAAACGTTGCACAATGACAGCAACTTATCAAGCAAAATATTGTGCATTGCAATTACGTCACATTTTGCAAACACGTTTGTTTGTTGGGTCTTTTTTTGTAATTATAGTTTGTTTGTTTGTTATGTTTTGTTGGGCTGTCGGGGTTGTTGGGCTGGTTATTTGTTTGTTTGTTTGTTTTTCATTTGTCTGTTGGGGTGTTGGGGTGATTGTTTGTTTTTTGTTGTTGTTTTTTAATGTTTTGTTTGGGTTTGTTTGTTGGGTAGTTGGGGTGTTCGTTTGTTTGTTTGGTTGTGGGGGTGTGTGTGTGTTTGGTTTTTTTTGCTTGTTGGGGGTATTTGTTGGGTTATTTGGGTGTCTGTCTGATGGGGTACTTGTTTGCTTGTTGGTTTTTGTTTTTTTTATTGGAGGTATTGTTTGTTTGCTCATTTCCTGTTTATTTGTTAGGCAGTTTGTAATATTGTCTATGTTGCTTTTTGTTTCTTTGACATGTTCAGTTACTCGTGTGATGTCTTTCTTTAATGGAGTCTATGTATTTCAATTTCGTTGCACCTTGATGTTTGGTCTGTGTTGTTGATATATAGGATTATATTACATTTGCTTGCCATTTTGTTCCAACTAAATTTTTGCTCTGTTTTTATTTTTGTTCATTTACTTTTCATTTACATTTTTATATTTATATTGTATAGATTTTATTTAGTTTTTGTGTAGACATTTCGAGCATGGGTAGTCAGGCCTTAGGGCTACAGTGTTTAAGTACACTTTTGTTTACCCTGGCCGGTTTGGAATATTTTAATGTCCTTGTTTTCTGTCCCTCGATCGCCTCTCCCCTGTCAAACTGTCCACCCTCCCTTCCCTCCCCCCCCCCCCCCAACCCATTCCTTCTCGCACCCTTCAGTCTCATCTGGTCATACTTTTTCAATTTCCAATTATTGTTTACTTTATTATAAATGTTTGCTTTGTCATTGTAAATTTGTTCATTTGTTGGCCGAGTAATAACGTGTGCGTTGCATAAGTTTGCAATTTACGCAACAAATTATGACTTTGGAATATGGACAATCAAAAACAGACACCCTATTTAGGCCAATTAGTCTGTATAGAGTCTAAATTCATTGGTCACTGCCAAACTTATTAATGTTTACGTATAAGAAAAGTAACGTCTTTAATGTACACGAGTAAGTATTATTTTGTCCTTGACAGAAATTTGAGTGAGACCGCCTGCTTCTGAAGAATCACACAATTTTTTTTTCCAAAATGGCAAGCATAGCTGATCCAAAAACTGTTTCGCGATTGATGTCTTAAAAGCAACGATCATTCTTGTCCAAGATGCTTGAAATAATTATTGAAACGTTGAACAGCATACCAATTTTTATGAAATCATTCGTAATTATATATTACGCAAATGTAATTATAGTTGTGTAAATCTGCAGTGAGCGACATAAGTTACATGTATGCACTCTTCCGTAAAATCAGCTGCACAACAACTTCAGGAGACATTACATTATCTTAGTTGCTACTCACCTTCAGATCTTTCTTGTGTGATCTTTACCTCGAATCCGATCTCGGTTAGCCAAAAATCGCTAGTAAACTCCATCCATGCCGTGTGGTTATTGGAAAAGACGGCTAGACTCGTCAGGGAACCGCTAAAAAGACCAATAACAGAGTCACCATCCGAGGACTCGTGGCCGTTGCCAATGTTCAACGTGTCGAGTGTTCGCTCCGTATTGAACACGGAGAAACGGAAGGCTATCTTGGAGCCTTCATCGACTGTGATGAACCAAATGCACCGGGCATTGTCCTTATAGTTGTTTGGGTAATAAGGCGAAGTCAGTGTTTCTGAAGTGTGTGTTGAGTTGCTGAGAGTGATGTTGCTTTTTCCACATGGAACTGAAGAAAATAAAACAGTTCATGAAAAATCAGAAAAATACTAGGTTTCTTGTAAAACCAAACAATAAATTTAATTTCAGGAATGCCAGTGGTTTTGCTCAAGGGACAGAAAAAGACTAAATTTAATCAGAATGTACACAAGCCCCAAGAACAAAACATTGTCTTTGGATAACATGGATCCAACGTTATTCTGATGCGGTATCCGGCCTGCGACTAGGCGGTGATGTACTGCACGCTGCTGAACGGAAAGTTGATGTCTGGTTCGTAGCTAGCTCGTAAGTTTGAACATGATTTGAAGAACGAAAGATTGGCCAAGATTCAACATTCCACAAAAGCATGCTTTTTTGAAATAGAAAATGTGTTAAATTTTGAAAGAGAGGGTAACTTAGATTTATCCAGGGTAACATGTTTTACATGTGCTATTTTAAAACGAAAGTGATGATAACAATAATGCGATGCTTGAATAACGCTTAATGTCATCTGTTTCAAAGATGTGGGAGAGAAAAAAATAGCATATGTGGAGCAAGTGTTAGCTTCTTGATAATAGTTTTGCATGCTACATTTGGAATAAATTGAAAAGATCACGCATGCCTGTAAGTTCAACAGAGTTTAAGTCAGTTGCAAAATGCTTCATGAATCCGAAATATATACTCACGGCAGTTAGATTCATCTGATCCATCTGGGCACAGTGTAAAGCCATCACCATCACAGGTGTCGTCACGTGCCAAACAAATCAAGCCAGAGGATCCATCCTGGCATGCAAATTCATCCTGTCCACAAGAACCTGCATGCAGCAAAGAGCAGAATAAATGACAGGTAACGTTCTGCAATCGATTCTCCAAACTTGGCACAGTGAACAGCAACTTATCAAGCAAAATATTGTGCATTTCATTTACGTCACATTTGGCAAACTCGTGTGCGTTGCATAAGTTTGCAATTTGCGCAACAAACTATGACTTTGAAATATGGACAATTAAAAAAAAACTCTATAGGCCTATTAGTTTGTATAGTCTAAATTCATTGGTCACTGCCAACTTGTTAATGTGACGTAAGAAAATTTATGGCTGAAACGTACATGAGTAAGTATTATTTTATCATTGACAGAAATTTGAGTGTGGCCACCTGCTTCTGAAGAAGCCACAATTTTTTTTTCAAAATGGCTAGTAGCATAGCTGATTCAACAACTGCTTTATGACCGATGTCTTAAAAGCAACGATCATCCTTGCCCAAGATGTTTGAATTATTGAAAACATTGAACAGCATACCAATTTTCATGAAATCATTCGCAATTATATATTACGCAAATGTAATTAATTGTGTAAATCTGCGGCGAGCGACATAAGTTACATGTATGCACTCTTTTGTAAAATCAGCTGCACAACAACTTCAGGAGACATTCCATTATCTTTTCAAGTTGCTACTCACCTTCATAGCTTTCTTGAGTGATCTTTACCTCAAATCCGATCTTGGTTACCGAAGAATCGCTGGTAAACTCCATCCATGCCGTGTGGTTATTGGAAATGACGGCTAGACTCGTCAGGGAACTGCTAAAAAGTCCAATAACAGAGTCACCATCGGAGGACTCGTGGCTGTTGCCAATGGTCAACGTGTCCCATTTTCGCTCCGTATTGAACACAGAGAAACGGAAGGCTATCGTGGAGCCTTCATCAACTGTGATGTACCAAATGCACCGGGCATTGGCGGGATAGTTGTTTGGGTAATAAGGCGAAGTCAGTGTTTCTGAAGTCTGTGTTGAGATGCTGAGGGTGATGTTGCTTTTTCCGCACGGAACTGCGGAAGAAAATAAAGCAGTTAATGAAAAATCAGAAAAATAATATATTGCTTGTAAAACCAAACAATAAGTTTCATTTAAGGAATGCCAGTTGTCTTGCTCTAGGGACAAAAAAGAATAAATTAATTGATTAAGAATGTGCACAAGCCTGAAGTATTAAACATTGTCTTTTGATAACATGGATCCATTCAAGTTGATTTTGATGCGGTATCCGGCCTGCGGCTAGGCGGTGATGTAGGCCTACTGCACGCTGCTGAACGGAAAGTTGATATCTGGTTCGTAGCTACATGTACCTCATAAGTTTGAACATAACTGGAAGAACGAAAGATTGACCATTGGTCACATTGCATGATGGTGGAGATTTCACCGCAGTGGTCAGTCAGTTGCTAAGTGATTCATGAATCCGAATTATGCATATACCGCAATTAGATTCATCCGAGTCCGGGCACAGTGCTTCGACGTTTCCCCGACTTTCTTCGTGCACTGTTGCCAAACATCTTTGTTTGTAACCTTCAAACTCAATCAGTTAAATACTTTCTGTCTTTCTCCTAGAATGCTGTTGCCCCGAAAATTATTCGCCGAAGGCTGCCTCGCAAAGCCACGCAACCGCCCTGTCGTCTGCAAGGTGAGGTGCCGAGAGGCCGCCTTGGAATCGCTGAAGAAGGCAATTTTCCAGATATTTTCTATCGTTTCCACAGTACTGCAGGTACTAAGAGGGGACACTGATGCTCCACTTATGGAAGGTAGACATGCAGGGTCCAGCGCCAGAGCGGAACGGGTTAACTTTGGTCCAAGAGTTACTTGAGAGGTGCATGTCAGGAGTTGAACAGTAGGCTCGGCGATCAGTATACTGTATCGATCCTTACATGGGAGTCCGTTGTTCTGGTTTCTTTATGAGCTGGTTTTTATCGCCAATGTGCACCCCGAATCGCCTGTTTGCATGGAGGACTTCGATTATCTGACATGTCCAGGGAGACAGCAAGTGAGACGGACATTTTGGTGCGCAGGCCCATTGTGCCACATATCGTATGTTGCGGTGAGGTCTAAAAAGAACGCACCGATTTTCAGATTTGGTTGGTAGTCGCTCTCTATAATTATATGTAGTAAATGCCAGCACCTAATCTGCTGTGCTGTGGCCGCTCCTGAATCCTGCTCGATCAGGGGAGAAAAAAACACCGACAAGAATTAGTGGAGCGATGTGGTTGAGGATCACTGTTTCAAGGAGCTTGTAGCAGATGGAGAGGAGCTAGATCAGTCTGTATTAACTGGCTGCTAGCTTCGGGTCTTTCCCAGCTTTGGGTACGGCAATGACAGCTGTTCTCCACGTGTTGGGGATCTATTTGTCATAGATCACCCGGGTGAGGGATTTGCTTAGCAAGTTGATGGCTTGGTGTCCCAAGTTCTTGATGAATTCTGGGTAGGCCCTATTATACATCTGGTCGTACCCTGCGGCCTTACCTGTTTCCAAATTCCTAACTGCGCTAGTGACTTCGAGTGGTGTGAAGGATGAGGTAGACTAGGTCATACGAGTTTAAGCTGTTTTCATGCTTGATGAACCTGTTTCTTGATTTCTTTCTTTCTTGTGTGGACGCTGGGTCTGCTGGAGGTTGGGATTGGCTGTTGTCCCACACCGAGTTAGCATAAGAGTTTACAGCTATTGCGGTTGTATAAGAGTTTACAGCTTTTGCGGCTGTATAATGTGTGAAGTCTACACTGCTTGTTGTTTCTTCCCATGCCCGGCGACTATACGTCTGGCATCATTGAGGGCCGGAATGAGTTATCGGAGATCTCAGCGTTTTCGGTACCTACGTACTGTACTCCGTCAGATGTTGTCAGCATTCTTCATCATATTGAGGCAAGGTGTATAGATCGCGGTCTGAAGCCATGGGGAATATGACGTTTCGCAGCTTTTGAGATAGCCCGGGGGAAGCGGTCATAGGCTTTGTTGATTGGAATGTTCTGGGGGATGCAGAAAATGCTTCACTCCAGGTCACTGGTGAAGCTTGTCCAGTTGGCTTTTCGGACGTTCCATCTTGGTTTCTGGACGGATTTGATGATGGGCAGTCAGATTCCGATGTCGATTGCGCACACGTACGATGGGTCTGTGTTGGACGCGTGGAAACCCAAGAAGGGCATTTGGCTGGAAGCTTAGAGCCATCCTTCCTTCGATGAGACCCAACAGAGGTCTGGAGAGTGATGCGTTACCCAGCGAACCGATCTGATAGACTCGTGTTCGCCATTCCTGTCGTTGCTATTGTAGCGTGATGGGGTGGGCCGACACCAGTCTATTCCCCTTATTTGGTAGTGTTTACTTGTAATTTCTTGGCAAGGAAGTCAGGTCGTGTCAGCGGACAATGTCTCGTGGTTTTGGCGGGAGTGGCCGCCAATCGGAGCGCGCTCGCTGTTGCTGGGCGGGGCGAGGCAGGCCGTGACCGCACTTGCGATCTGTGTTTCCCGTACCCGCGTATGCGTGATTGGTGTTACCGGGCAGAGGTGAAGGGTTGGCGGCCAATCACGGCGTGATTGGGCGTGGCGTGCCGTGGTACTTGAGCGCATGGTCGGCCGGGCGTGAGTCAGTTGCGTGAGTCGGTGGCGTAAGTTGTTCCTCACTTCTGTGTATGGAGCGGGTTCAGTAGTAGTGTACGAGTGAAATTGCAATTGTCCGTGACGAAGCTAGCGTTTGCTTTGGCGAGGCCGTGTGTGGTGCAGTGTACCGGTGTTGACGCTGTTTCGGCCTGACTTCTCGTACCCTGGTTGAGCGATTGTACGGAGCGCAGAGCCCCGTGGTGTGACCCAGTTAGCCTGGTAGGACCGAATTGCTTTATCATGTAATTCCGTGCATTTTTGTACAATTGTTGCAGTTGAGTGTTTGACTTACAGAGTAGGGTGACTAAGTACAGGCATAATGATTGTTGTCGTGGGTTCACAGAGACGTGCGATAACATAGAGGGTCGACCCAGAGGTTGACATAGAGGCCTGGGAGGAATAGTCACAGGTAGTCAATAACTGTACTCGGTCAAGTTTATTGTCACACGGGTTTTGTCGTGTACTGATCAGCTAAGGCGCTCAAACTTATAACAATCCAACGATAATAACCTTATAAATCAAAGAGTTCCCAATTAAGTCAGAATTGTCCGTAAATAAATTAGCCAATCATTTCCTTTCCACAAAGAGAATTGTGTATTCCTGCGTCCAATATTTCTGCAGTTTCTTCGTCTGTTTGTTCATTTCTGTACTAGAGTAACAGGGCCTGGTAATCAGTATCCAACTGGGCGGTAGATTTCCACCAAAACGAGCTTGCATCCCTGGGCCTAGAGGCTGCTCGAAAACTTCCCTAGGTTCGAGGCAGAAAACATAGTTTGGGGTTAACGGAACTTTCACCTCAGTCGGTGATTGCCTTCCCTGACCTCTGGTTTAAATTGACCTCGGGAGATTCCGCCACAAATGGTGTCAGAAGTGGGATAGTTGGTGCTGATTAAAGAGTTGGCCAGTAGAAACAAATTGCGTCTTGTTCTAGAAATCAAGCAGGATTTTGAGTACAGTGATTTCTGTGGTTGAAGAGTAATCATAGAAAGAGACAAACATGAGTCAAGAGAATACTTCGAGTATTGAGAGTGAACTGCAGAAGCTGAGATTAGATGCTCAATTTTTGCAATGGGAGAAAGAGTTGATGGCTAAGAAATTAGAAGCCATGAGAGCCAATTATGAGGAACCTTCCCCGGTGGGAAGTATAGACAAAAAGAGCCAAGAACAGGGGCCAGTGCGGATCGATTCGGAAATCGAGTTCCAGATGCCAAGAGAGAGTTCTGGTTATTTTTCCCAGGGAAAAGTTGATGGCTAAGAGAATGCTCGATGGAAAGCCTCCGAGGTTGGCTAGAGTGTTAGATACCGGGGTGGAACAGAGGATCCACGAATTGGAGAACGGAATGAAAAGTTTGGCTGGACTGTTAACGGAGTTAACGAAACAAATCCAAGAAAAGAGTGACCTAGTGGGGAAACCTGCTGACCAGAAGTCACAAAAGAGTGAGCAAAGTGTTAGGAAATGCTTCAATTGTGGGGAGCGAGGTCACTTTGCGCGAGAGTGCAAGAAACCAAAGAAGAGTAGTCCAAAGCATGATGGCTGGAAGTGTTTCAATTGCGGAGAGCACGGCCACATTGCCAGAGACTGTAACAGACCCTCAGGGGGAGAGCCTGGGGCAGGAAAAGTCGAGCCAGCTGCTCGAGGGGCCCGTAGGCACCTCGGAAGTGCTAGAGGGGCAAAGAGACGATGGAGAGATTGCAAGGGGGCCATAGGAGAGAAGCGGCGAAAGTATGAGGAGGGAAAGGTAATTACGTTACCGAACCCAAAGAGTGATGCCCGCTTTGGTTTGTTTGTAGAGGGTGTAGTGAGAAAAACCAAGTGCCAATTTTTGGTTGACACTGGTGCCACAGATACATTAATTAGTAGTACAGTGTATTATGAGATACCCAAGGAACAGAGACCAGTCTTAGAGTCAGACAATGTGAAAGTGAGACAGGTGGATGGAAGTTCCCTGTCGGTGTTAGGAGTCGCCTGGGTCGAAGTTCAAGTTGGACGAACAACGCACCCAGTCAGGGCGATTTTTACAGAGATGAAGTATCCCGGAATTCTGGGCATGGATTTCTTGTTGCCCACAGGGGGTAACTTGGATTTCCACACCAAAGAGTGGAGAAAAAAATGGCGAGAGAATTAAATGCACTAGTAGTGCTGGAGAGCCATTTGTTGGGAGAGTGGTAATTGCTGAAGCAACTGTGATTCCATCTGGTTCTGAGGCAGTAGTGCCTGGCACTATTGCTCACAGAGGAAAAGAGTGGGCTGGCCCAGCCATAGTGGAACCGCTAGAGGGGGGCGGAGATTTAGCCCAGAAAGGCTTGGTGTTGGCCAGGTCACTAGTGGAGTCAGGGAACCAAATTGTTCCGTTGCGGCTGTTCAACCCAGGAAAAGAGAAAAGAGTGGCGCGAAAAGGGACCACTGTGGGAT